TTTTCTTGTGTGTGTGTGTGCGTGTTAAAGTTTAACAGTGCTATGATAACATTAGTACATAGGATTATGAGTCACAACTGATTAGATATATGAATGAAAAACTAAATAAATAGATTTGAATAAGGCACTAAGAAGACAAATTTCGCGAGATGATGATAGCATTCCGTAGTTTCTTTACAACCACTTTACAACTAACATGCTCCACAATAATAAAATAAAGATGGTGAAAATTACTCAGTTATATAAAATACAAAAGTACATACTAATGACCAATCATATTTAAATACGTCTAGTAGTCCATGGTAGGCGAAGGTTGAAGTCTATTGTTTTTGTACACATCACCTTCAATAACTTTGAATTAGAGTTATGTGAAATAATTGTGAAAGAGTCATTAATATTGATTTTGTGACCTGACATTAATAAGTGTTTTGCAATGGATGATGCTGAATTTCTATTCAGATTACTCGCATTGGGATTTTCTATATGATTTAGTAGCCATTTTGGAACATGTTCTTTTCGACGACATTGGAACATTCTGTTGGTTCTACCTATATAGGTGTCACCGCTGCTGCAGGTGAACTTGTAGATACAGTTTGAAGTAGAGTCCACAGAATTTCGTCCTTTAATCGTAGGTGCAGGGATCGAAAATATTCGGCAAATGAGAAAAAGAGATGCGGCGTAGAATGTGCGTTTGATGGCTGACTGAAGTCTTTGAGCTGCCAAGTGCATAATCCGGTCACCCTTGAATAGTAGGTTAATAAAGATAACGTTCTTTGGTACAGCAGCTGTCTTTTCGAGATGTGGTCTTTCTTTACTGTGACAAGTGATAAAGTTCTCCGGATACCCATTAACTAATAAAACTGAATGTATATTTCGAAACTCATCCATCAATGTGTCACTCGTGCATATTTTCGGGCCCTTGAGAACAAACATTTCACTAGGGAACGTTTATATTGGATAGGGACAAAACTGGTAAAATGAAGATATTGTCCACTCCATGTCTGTTTACGAAAAATAGAGGTCAACCTAAAGTTCAGTAGACAAGTGTGAAATAGGTGATCGGAAAATAAAGTACATTCGAAAATGCGAATATGTGAATATAATATGATGGAGACATAAGATAAGTGATACGTTTTCAAAATAGTAGACTAGATAAAGTGTTAGAATAGGATAACATAAAGTAAATAAAATAAAACAGAACAAAAATGGAACATGGAATAAGGAAGGATAAGAAAATTGTTATGTGAATTATATAGTAAAGTCAAGACCACGGTAACGGAATAGATCGTACAAGTTGTTTTTCTACTGGTCAGTTGTCTTGACCAATTTTTACAGTTTTGTCCCCATAAACAGAAAAAGGAATCTAATCCATTCTTTCTCAACAGGGGTGTGGAGAATTTATAGTGAAGATAGTGTTGATGATGAACTGAAACAACTAAAAGAAACCTTCATGGAGAACCAATATCCACTATGCTTCGTAGACGCCAATAGAAAATTCCGTGGAAGAAATACAGAGATTAACAAGGTAGCTAAATAAGTGTCGCACTTAAACTTGGAATTTAGGGGTGACACTGCGAGTGAGATACTTAAAGACTGTCTGATGAGATCATTGAGAAAAACGATGTTTGCTGCCACTTTAGGAATAATCTACTCTAGCCGTCCACTGGTGAACCTTAATCTCAAGGAAATGTTACGTCGATTGTCTAATTCCATGTGTATTTATATGTTCACCCACCCTTGCCGAGCTAGGTGCATAAAGCGTTCATCGAGAAACATATGCCACCGAGTTCGAGAGCACCTCCTAGTTTGGCTGAGCAAAGGAGAACGTAGAGGTATTAATTCATCCATATTGCAACATATTGTAGATACTGACCACACAGCATCTGACACATCGTTTAATATAGTCTACAAAGTTCGACAAAGTTTGCCGAAAGGGACACGAATACATCTGCTTTGTATAGCAGAGGCTTTGGCAATACACAACATAAAGCCAGAACTTTGTGTACAAAAACATTTGTACACAGTACACGGAATTGTAACAAAAATTATACTCAAATGTTGTCCGATATACTGATACCAGATACCGGAAATAATTACTTATTGGGTAGTGCTATTTGATCTGCGTTTTATGCCTTTTCACATCAAACAATAACTCACATGTGCAACGGTGACAAAATTCCCCTGTTTTTCTGCATAATGTATGCATGTACACAGATTGTCAAATTTTAACCAATATTTCTGTTTACCTGTGAAGAGACTGATCAGCAGACTTCAGTCAAAACATGGGACTGGAAAACCAAGTGAACTACTATCCAGGGACCAGTTCGCAAACACTTAGGTATTTCATTACAATTTAAACTAATTACTTCGATATCGAATTTATACAGTTCAAGTATCTTTCTACATTGCAGTGTGTGGGATTGTATTCACAAGTTTAGTGGCTTTTTTTGAATGGTAAGATTCTTTCTGTGTTTCAAAATAAGCGTGACATATCAAAAAGGGTTTTTCCGTATGCAACTTTTATGCATACGAAAGCCTATGTATCTCTTCTATGTAGAATTCGTCACTGGCTAACATCACTTAGGGAGTCACTGTAAACCAGGAAGTACTCGATAGCTGTTTTGTTCTACTTTGGAACCTATTAGCAGTTCACACATAACTCAACCTGTGGTTTAACCCTGAGTTTTTCTTTAAATTACAAGGCGAACTGTAACTTCAGGCATAGATAGTGAAATTGAATAATTGTTGTGTGGACGAAGCCTTCAGTGATATCCTAATTATCATTTCCAGTACCAATTGAAAACTAATGAAGTTAGTGGTTCTCTAAAAGGACTTGTTGTTGTTATTCAGTTATTCGAAACTAAACATTATGCTTTCGCATCTGGCTGTCATGTTTTTTTTTATTCCTTCACGTTCCCCAGTGGAACATAGGGCTTCAAGCTAGTGGCTTGAAGTTTCTGTAGCAGTGTTTATTTTACAGGATGGGGTTGCTAGCCACCTCATTTCCAACCTTTCTTCACCAGCATTATTTCTGGCTTAGCGAGGTAAAGGAGTGCGTCGGTGGCCGGGGATCGAACGCCGGACGATGTGCATGGTCGGCGAGCGTCCTAACCGCTGTTATGTAATTATATTTAAATGCCAACTGACTTAAGAGGCTTGACAAAAGAAAGTGGCGGTAAAGAGGGAATAGATTGTTTTACAGCAATGCATATTTTAGTCTTGAGATTTCTCTTAATAGATGGTGTTACTTAGTCTAATAATGAGTAAAATGTATAATGGCGTCATCATTTACAAACTTCTCCTTACTGATTTATTAAGATCCATGTTGTAAATAATCCTAGGTAATTTATTTTATTTATCATTAGCTCATTTTATTTTCAAGCTTTTATGATAAGAATCTGTTTGATAAATTCTTTTAAAAGTGTCTTTATTAACTACCGAATTCAAGTGCAATTAGAACAGGACAACTATTCCTCTGTCGATTACGTCACAAGAATGACTAGGTCATAACTATTGAAAAAAAAACTTTTCAAGTGTTGGTTTGCACGGAATTCAGTGGCCTGCGAATTCTAATTTCTGTCACTTCATGATATATAGCCCCACTGACAGCTACGATTGATACTGAGTATTTGTCCTGACACTCAACTTGCCGGGCTCCACTCTTGAGGAATCCTGAGTAGGAAAATTGTCCAGTGATGTTTCGTGTTCAGTGGTCCTCTGAAGGATGTCAGTACACAGGCTTACTTAGAAAATAACTGTTGACTGATGGTGTCTAAAATTCATTCGGAAAGAGTGACGAACTCATTTAAAGTAATTCAGTGTAGCATAAACACCTCCACTAAATTTATCGCCTTTAATGTTTACCACCCGAGGTACCATACTCTGGTGAAGTTAAACTTTAGATACTCAGCTGATATGAAAGCAAAAATGCCCCTAGGATGTCCAATCAGCTAAATAACACTCTATTCATGAAAAAAACTATTGAATAAAGTGTAACTGCTCTAAACGGGATATCTGGTCAGTTTCTAATTAGGCTTGGATAAGGTTAACCTACTCAGAGAGATACTAGTGTTGGTTAGGGGTAGACTGGAGTTAGGTTATGTGTAGGTTATGGTTATATTTAGTTTTGGGATATTTTAGGGTTGGGTTACGGAGACATTGGCTCTTTCCAAGGTCCTTAGTGAGTTCTCACCTCTTGCGTGTCTAAAATATAAATTTGCCTAAACTCTTTTTCAATATTTTCTAATATTATTACATCAATGTACACTTCCTCCACTTTTACTTATTTTGTCTGATTGTGTTCTACTTTCGAATCATATTAATCGTGAAACTGTCTAACCCTAACATGGTCAATCCAAAACATGCCTTCATCAGTCAGTAAAATCCACGGCAGTTAGTTTAAGCCAGCCAGCCACCTAGGAAGGTGTAAACTTCTTGACTGGTTGAGGTCCTCGGGATGGTAAAAACCAATGCAGGCTGGAGACAATCGGTGATATGGATCAAAATCGTTCTCAATGATGGCGCAGATGCATCCACTCCGTGTGACTTACAATATCCAATAAAATCACACTGTTCCTCCATATTACTATTCTTTTTGTCTCATATTTCTGTTTTGAATCTCTTTTTACTCTCTTCTCTTGCTTTGTGTGCTAAGTGAAGTGTTGAACTCGAACTGCTGCACATCGGTGCAAAGTTCTACGTTGAAACCAGTCAGTCAGTCTAACCCTAAATGGAGGTGAAAAAGATCCTAAGCCTAGTAAATGTTTCAGATAAAAATCTTTCACAGTAGTGATAATCGTTATCCGACAACAAAAAGGTTTCTTTTCAAATAATCTAACCTTCACTCAACCATTATTACTACATCGAAATAACTGAACCTTGCAAAAACGCCTAAAATCGGAAGATTTAATTTTTTTTTCTACATAAAATAGTTGAATATCCTGTTTACGGAGGAAAAACAGACTACATATATATGAACTAAAAGGCTAATAATATCTGTAGCGAATCTACAACAGTTGATTATGATGAAATACATAATCTCAGATCACTCACCTGACACCATGATTCATTATCGCAGAAAGAACAAATAGTCATACAGCATACAAAGACTTATATCACAGATGTAAAATATACAGTTGGACATATGAAATGTAACAAATATTATACAAATCGTATTTGTACAAGAAAAATCATGGAAGGTATTTATATACAATATCATGTGTTACCGAATTCAAACATATCACAAAATAAGTATCATGAAATATGACAGCAGTGTAGATAGATCATTGAACCCATTAGTTAATATTATCCATAATATATGTTAGAGAAATTTCCAACTCACTTAATTCCATAATATTTCCCCTTCATATAGAAATTACATGCAAAGTAATAATATGAAGTATATCATATTACGTAACCTTGTTGCATATGAAGAAAGGTTCAACTCTGTACATTTTCCCTTTATTTCCTTCAGGCATTGCACAGGGTTTAGTAGTGTGGGGGTGGGGGCGGGTTTATTAAATATGCCTGCGAGTCCATGTGACGGTCATTTCATATAACTGTACAATTAAAACAATAAGTAATACAGAAAAGATGGAAATTCTAGTAGTTCAGTGATCTAAGCAGATCACTAATTGCTGAAGTACAAATTTTCACGAAAAAAAAAGAAAATTAGACCGCTTCATCATTGATCTATAAAATCTTGACTAATATGTATAATATTATTATTTGAACTTTTCTCATAGATAAGAAATTTAAAACGTAACCAAATAATTAAAATTAATACTAATATATGTAAAAATGCATCAAAGAGTAGAATAAATGATGAAATATAATTTAAAGTATAATTATAAATTAGCGTGAATAACATTCCACCGCATAGATTAGCAATTGTTTCCATAATTGAAATAAGCGCAAAAGATGCACCAATTTCATCACCTTTAACAAGTTTACTAATTAATGAACGTGTAGCTGATGTAATATAACCAGCAGCTGAACCTATTATTGCACCAAAAAATATCCAAAATTTATTCATTGTAATACTAAATAGTAATAAACGAAATATTTTCAATGATAAACCAATTAAAATTAATGTAGTATCATGTGGTGTATACCTGTGCTCAATAATTGGTAAGAATAATGTTAAGTGTAAAAACATACAACCATAATAACATGCCATATAAAAACCATATAACTGACTAGTCCATAATGTTGGTTTATTACGTAAATACAATAGGATAATATCTTGTTCTCCTGATTTTGTCATTTGATTAAATAATACAGTACCTAAAAGAATTAACAAGAGATTCCTTTTTTCGTTATGATATTTTTTAAATATAAAATTATAAGATAATTTAAATTGTTCATATATGCTTATTAAAGATTCACATGATTGTTTATTCGCACTATTATTATTTACATTGTCATAGTGATGTATATGACCGCCTGTTTTGAAGTTTGTCGCATTTTGATTTGTCTGCATTATTTGTTCATTCATAGATAATGTAGTCGGTGTTAATGATAAGGAATGTTCACATAATACAGGTGAATTCTCTTCATTTCTTGAATCAGCCACAAAAAATAATAATATTATAACAATAAATAAATTATTAACTATACAAAAGATTATAATTTCAGTGTAACTTAAAAAAGTTAAAAATAAGGCTAAAAATAATGTACCAATTGATAAACCAAGACAATTTGCACCAAGTAAACGTCCAAGCATACGTGTACGGCTACTAGTACTACTCATATCAGTAATATAACTATTAGCACCCATAGTAACAGCACTACTTTTACCGCATATCCCATATATAGTTCCACCGATTAATATTAATGGTATAGATCCATAGATTAAATTTATTTCTGGAGATAAACTTGCACTAAACAGTGTGCATGCAATTGTTGCACCTAAACATGGTATTAGCATAGAGATTTTACGACCAAATTTATTTGAACAAACACCATAAATAAGGCATGCAAAAGCAGCAGGTAAATTCAATAGTATACGATATATTAATAAATATATTCCTGATGATTTTTGAACTTTTGTTAACATTTCATAATTTCTGGTATCTTGTTGCTTTTCATTTACATAATTGTCATCAGAACAGAAATTTTCATTAGGTTTTGTAAAATTTGTCAAGGCTATACAAACAGTTTTATAAATTTCAATACGTGTACCATACTGTAAGAGTGTTTCAGTTAATTTATATAAGAAGAAGCATAGGATAACTAGATTTGTTGATTGTTTTAAATGGGTCCTTTTGAAAATTGACAGCATTGATAACATTCACGATGATAACGATGATAATTATAATAAAAATAATGGTAGTGATAACGATAATCTTATCAATGTTAAAGATAGTAATGCTGTCTACTCAAAACAACTAACTGTATGTCAACATTAAAAGAAGAAAATATAAAAGAAAATATTGTAAAGAATCTAACCTACTTAAAGAGATTGTTTTGTTATATACCTAAACCAATCGAAATGTTGGTTAAATTGTAGCATACTGATTGGTAGATGAAAAATAATAGAATAAATTATGTCTAGATTAATCATATTGAAGATTAGAATTAGTACTAAAAAAATGTAAAAATCATTATCTATATTGTTATTATTATTATTATTATTTCGTCGCCAAGGTTCTGAGTAGAGTATAGTGAGTGCTTCAGCAGAACATTTCTAGTTCAAGTATTGGTTTGTAGCGATTTGGTTGATTGGTTACAGGATTTCATCATAAGCTGACATTGGTTATAGAACCATTGGAAAACCTGGGAGTACTGGACAGCTGTTTCGTCCTAGTTTGGGGCTCTTCAGTAGTACGCAACCACCAGGGTTCTAGTTCAATCTGTACTCTGCTATCACTTTCAGGTGGTTCCACTCCTAATTACAAGCAATCATTCCTTCTTCACATGGCCTCCTCCATGTTACCGTTGGATGAACACTCAAATCGTCAATTCTCATTTGAGGTTCACTTGAGGGTCTGGTATTTGATTTAGAATCCATCGCCATTTTCTTGTTCATATTTATTGGATGATTGGTTCTTAGATGTTTCTCTGCCACAGTTCCTAATTGCTTCTTATTTCTATTTGGCCATCTGATCCACAGTATCAAGTCAGTGAAGGCATCTGTCGGTGAAACCTTGCAGTAGCCTGTTGGAAATGATTTCGATAATGCCCTTGAAAAGTCTATCAACCATATAGAAGCACCGACTGAATTTACATTAGTGTTAAATAATCAGATCTGACTCTTTGTGCCGAGTGAATGTTAGAGATATTCACACTGATTTCATCGGAGCGATGAAAGGAGGAGAGTTTTGCTGTCGTGATCCAATCGTATGTGACTTTGATACCCCTATTCAAGCGGCTACCTGTTATTGAGACGATACTGACCAGGTCAGACAAGTGCAAGAGATAACTTTATTTAGATTTCTGTCATTGAAATTAATTGGTTCTTGTTATTTTCGGTGGCATATTTTCACCTCTGTCTTCTCTATGTTCGTTTGAAACCGTTTCTCCTCTGCCTCTTCTGACAATTCTTTGGATTTCGCATTTAAATCTTTGCGTTCTTAAGATATTACACATAAATCTGAATCTTTTTTCAGGCCTTTTATCAGCCCAACATATGTCTATTTCCTCCCACTCCACGATCTGCCACAAGATCCAGTCCACTACAATTAGTAAGGTCATCGCTGATGAAAGAGAAAGCCTTGTCTTATTCCTGTCTTCATTTTAAATGCTTGATTAAGGTTTCTGTTGTGAATTACCTGGCCTCTGGCGTCATTATATATGAGGTTTAAAATGTTTTCATCATCGCACTACATATTGTTGAAGCAGCTGTCACATTACTCTATGATTAACATTACAGACGACATTTCCAAAGTGGTTGAGCTAACGAGTTGACAAAAGGTTCAGAAATAAACAGTACTAAGCTAACTTAAAATGTTTCCGAATCAACTCTTGTTGAATAAAATTTTAAATATACATTAGTGGCTCTCAAACAGAACACAATTAATAATAGATGGTTGGAGGCAATCAGAAGTAAGCCTTGCTTGACCTAGGTTTCGTGCTAGTTGGCACTCACCAGTCAGCAAGGCGTATCTAACCACTGTCTAATCACAGTATCCAATACAGTCCTACAGGACATCAATCGCCAGCCCAAAGAGCTCAGTGGTAACGTCTTTGACTGCAGCACTGGGTGACGTGGGTTCGAATCTCAGAAGGGACATGAGTTCCTTCAAGGTTGCAGAAAGGCCTTGTGGACTGGTAAGTGCCAACTAGCACGAAACCTAGGTCAAGCAAGGCTCCCTGCAGATTGCCTTCGACCATCTAATATCATCAAATCAATGTGCACCGTTAAGGTGAGCTACCTAGAATGGTGGCCACATTGCAAATCTGACTGATAGAATTCAGTCTGCTCCAAAGAAAGGACTAGACACATCACACTAGTTACTAGTGTCCAATCAAAGAAAAAAATTAAATATTACGTTTAATAACACGTTTCAAGTATGACTGTTACAACAGACTTAAGTAGGTTTTTACATAACTTCACAGTTTGCCCTAATCCCTTTCATTCATGTTAATATTTGTATTTGTGTTTTACGAGAGTCCTTTGGAATCAGCTGAACAATGATATATAAACTGACTGGTGATTAATTAGAATGTGAAATCTTCAATGATGTATTCACTGTAACAGATTCCATGTTACCATTACATAATCTGATTAACTTATCTGTCAAGACGTAATTACTAACTAAACTGTTTTCATCAGCTTTCAATGAGCACGCTAACCTAATTAAAAACAGCAATAGGAACTACTATATGCTCGAATTTAGTCAGTAGGTTTTGTACCCATAAAAACTCATTTTCGAAAAATTTCTTCAGTTCTTCGTAATCCTGTTAATTAAGCAGGCGATCCTGAATTTTCTAAAAATCATGGATAATCTCAAATGTATTGTACTACAAGTGCTAAGCAGAAAGAAACCTATGGCAAACGATTCTTTCTGATGATTGGTTGGAAGATTTCATCGTGAGCTGACATCAGTTAGAGAACCATTGGAAAACCACCTGGGAGTAATGGACAGCTAGCTGTTCTCAACCCAGTTCGGGACTCTTCAGCAGCACGTACCCACCGCCACGGGTCGAACCCATGACCTTCAGGCTACAAGGCAAGCTATCTCGTAGATAATTAAGCTACTGGGGTTCAATCCAATGGCCAGTCCATGAATTCTGACTTCTGCCAATTCACGACATAGCGCGACAGCTAGCCAATTTCTTCGGTAAGCATTTGTCCTCACCTTCGACCTGCTGCATCCTACTGGTCACGACTTACTACTAGAACCCCATGTAACTACCTACCTGAACAGGGCCAGTCGCTAGTGAGCATCTCACTGATATTCAAGTATTAGTTTGTAGGGATTTGATTGATTTGGTTACAGGATTTCATCATGCGTCGTAACCAGTGGATTGCACCAGGTTGGGTATGAGGACAAATACTCATCCGGCTAGCGGTCGCACTATGTTGTGAATTGGCAGAAGTTAGAATTCATGGTCTTGCCATTGGATCGGTTCCCAGTGGCTTAATGGTCTAAGAGCTGGCTCATCTTGTAACCAGAAGGTCGTGGGTTTGAACCCTGGCGGTGGGTGCGTACTGATGAAGAATTTATTGTAAGACATCTTTGATTATAAAATTATAATAGTTAGCAAATTGTTGTGACAGTAAGTATGAAAAATCTTGATCTCCAAAGTCTGCATGATTTCATAAATAGAGCACAAGCGAGAGTAAACATTGGCAGATGAGAATAAGATAAACACAATTTGCCACATCAACTGTGCAGACTGTTTACAATATTTAGTTGGTTCATTCACCGACGAGACGCTCTTGAGGATTTTGACGACGAGATGCTACATCCCAGTTCTCAACATATATTGACTAATGAAACCACAACTTCTAAATATTGTCATCTTAAAATGTCTAAACTGAAATCCAACAATAGAATTGCTATAGGCCTGGAAACAGAACGAAAGTGAAACCAGAAGACACATGGACATCTGCTTGCTAACAGTCACTCCTTAACTAACTGAAAACCTGCCACACGGACCAATAATGAGATAGAATGACAAAAATACACTGAAAAGGCTTACACTACAACAAAGAACTGGTTATGACTCAATGGAATCCCACATCAAGAGGTCAAGAGAAATTTAAGAGAGTTCTTGCGAAAGTTACAACGACACCTAAATACATTCATACAAATTGCAAATATACTTCAAATCGTGGTGATGTTATTCCTAATGGTGACGCCAAGTTTGATGATAAAACACCTGCAATGAAATATCAAATCTTGCAGAATACTGGACAATCTCCAACACCATCCTGATCTAAAAATAATTTCAATAAGCTAAAATACGTAAAAAAACGAAAATTTGATACCAGAGTGTTTGCAGTTATTTCATTAATAGCCAAGGCCAACACTGTTTTAAAAAGTTGAAAGTGAAAAATCTATGACAGCTTTGGATGAATTAAGTAAGCACTCTTAAAATCACTGTCAGAATTATTTGGGTGATGGAAGTTTATAAAGTGTTCTGAAATGGAGCTCTTCACAGACTTCCTTTCACCGTTGTTGTTTCATGCAGAACTATACTCTTGTTTTCATCTGCGAAGAATTCTTTGGCCACAGCCGACGTAAATTCCTCCAAAGGAATGAATGAACTGATAAATGCACATAGCATCAGGCAGAAAAGAAAGCTTATTTCGCGCAAAAGAATTATAGTTCCTTTTTCAAAAATTTATTTTATTCCTTTAGGTTCCCAGTGGAACATAGGGCTTCAAGACAGAGGCTTGAAGTTCCGGTTGCAGTGGTACTTACTTTTACAAGATGGGGTTGCTATCCTCATGCCCAACCTTCCCTCTTTACCAGTCTTATTACTGGTTTAGCGAGGTAAAATAGTCGGTCGGCCGGGAGTTGAACTCCGAACCAACTGCGTGGTTGGCAAGCATTCTACCTCTGTGTCACTGACGCACTAGCACCCAGTTAGTGGACGCTAAATGGATTTTGATTGTGAAGATCCCATTCAAAATAGTTTAGAAAGACAATTTTTCATGCAGACGTTGTTTTCACGTCAATCAGAAATATTAATCTCACATTTATATTCAGCAACACATTCGTGTGACTTGTTTTATTCAGATTATTTTGTTTTAATGGATAGATTTAACTAAGCTTTAAAACAATTCCTGTTGCCTAAATTTTCTATCTTGACGATTGTCGTTTGGAAGGTTGACAATTTAAAAAGAACTACCCAAAATCCACAGTTTCTGACCTCTTAAATATATATAAATAGAAGATCAGATGGTCTTAAAGGATTAGAAACGTAGAATGAAACAACCAAGAACCTATTGC